TGACTACTGGGTTAGCAGTGCGGAAGACACTTCCACAGAGAGGAAAGAGAGCAAACCTCAGTTACAAGAGCACAGGAAAGGATTCATTTCCTGAGAGCACCAGCGGATCGAAGGACCCCACCAACCCAGTCTAGCAAGCCAGCAATCCGCTGATATTAACAGGGAAGAAAATCACAAACAACAATCCAGCTGATCACAAAACAGTAACAGTTACAAGGGTTTGTACACATATCTCAAAATTAAGCTACATGGATAAAACGTACCAATGAGGGAGATGGATCAATTAGATTGTAGAACTAGATCCAGCCATGTATTTTCTCCAAGCAGCACATGCATTGTTCAAGATGTCCAGGGATGACTGTCAAGTAGGGGAAGCAAACCATCAAATGAAAGGAAGCTGAGCACAACTGATATGGCTCATCTATCTCATAAGATTCCAGACAGAACTCTATAGCAGGCCGCTGGATGTTAGTAAGGGAAACGTGCATCTAGAAGATGTAGTGATTGGAAATATGAAGGCAGCAAACGTTGGGTTTCATAAGACAAACACTAATGGACATATAAGGTCAGATAGGGCCACATAGATTAATAGTGGGTGGTTTCACGATCCCACGCTAATCTCTAGATAGGGCATCCAAACCGGTAACCAAAGAAACCTCAGTGTGGAACTCTGCAATAGAAGAAGTGGACTGAACAAATGGAACGAGAGAACAATCCATCCAACAGACACAGAATGCACACTTTTCTTAGTACACGGTGGAAACTTCTCCAAGACTACAAACCAAGTCTTTCCAAATACAAAAGGATCAAATAAGCTCTTGTACTTTATCAGATTACAGTGTAGTTAGGAATCAGTAATAAGAAAAACAACAGGAACTGTACAAATACATGGAGATTGAATAACCCCTTTAAATGACCAGTGGGTCACTGAAGAAATCAAGGAAGGAATGTGAAAGTTTCTAAAACTAAGTGAAAATGAAATACAAGTTACCAGAATTTGAGATGCAGGTATGTACACACACAAACACACACACACACACACACACACACACACACACACGCCCACACAAAATTTAAATCAATAGTGTATGTAGTTTTAAAACTTAAAACCAATCTCCTCAAACACAAACAAATAAAAAAAAACCCAAAAATTTGGTGAAAAATCCCATTAACTGTAGCTTCGAAAACAAAAAATACCTCGGTGAAGAAGACCCTAGAAGGTAGAGAGGTCTCCCAAGCTCACTGGTGGACAGAATGAACACTGTGGAAATGACTACATTACAAAAGCAATCTAATCTATACATTCAACACAATCCCCATCAAACACGTAGTGACATTCTCCTAAAAACAGTAATTCTAGAATTCATATGGAAGCACAAAAGAACCCAGACTGCTAGAGGAATTCTTGGTGGTGCTGGAGGTATCCCAGTACTAGATACTAAGTTTTAGTACCAACGGAGAGTAACAAAACACACTCAGACCAATGGAGAAAAATGGATAAAATGGAGGGGCCAACAGTGTTGTAGAATATTATTTTAAGGTGTTTTTTTTTTTTTTTAAAAGACAGGGTTTCTCTGTGTAACAGTCCTGACTCTCCTGGAACTCACTATGTAGACCAGGCTGGCCTCAAACTTAGTGAAATCACCTGCTTCTGCCTCTGCCTCCCAAGTGCTGGGATTAAAGATGGGCACCACCACTGCTGGGCTATTTTAGGGCTTTTTTTTTT